CGTAGGCACATTTGTAGATTGAAGCCAAATGAGGAAGAAAGATGTGAAAAGTATTTGAGAGTCTAGCTGAATGAGCTGTAATGTGTAGTCGTGTCAGACACCAGTTTAATCTTCGCACTACAGGGGGTATTTTCTCTTCAGCTACAATGGTGAACAGTGGAAATAATTGTGTGTCTCTGTGTGCCTTTGTGTACTTTTGTGGTCTGTTAGGGGTCTCTCTCTCTTGCACACGCATGCCAGTGCCTTGCTAGCCTCTTTGCTTTCCTGTCTGCTATCCATCTTCTCTCACGTTGTCAAGGTTTCAGGCAGGAGTAAATGCAAGGTTTCTATATCTCCTTAAACCAAGTATCTGCACCTGCAGGCTATTCCCCAATGTATTTTCCAGTCTAATTTTAAATGAGTCGAACAAGTGGCTTCCCACCATTTCCTTTGGGAAAGTATTTCAAGATCTCACAGTCTTCACTGTTTTGAAAGTGTTCCTTATCATTAGTCAGGCAGAAGGCAGTGCAGAGTGGCACCTTAGGGACTAACTGGCTCAGAGAGGCATGAGCTTTTGTAGGCAACAACCTCTGTTGCCAGTGCTACTAATGCTCAAACAAAGGAGGTTGTTGCTTGCAACAGACCATGCTTCTCTGACCCAGTTAGCCTTTAAGGTGCCACTCTGCCCTGCCTTCTGCCTGACTTTAGCCTAAAGTGGCCGACCAACTCTCTGGCTATGGTTAGTCTAAATCTTCCTTTACTCCTACACACACAACAGGTTTATGCTGCTATAATTTACATCATTTGAGTATAGCTGGTAAGATTTTTGCCTGCGTTCTCTTCAATAGACTCATTCTTCTCACAGAGTATGTTTTACTTGATCCCCAATGTGGTTTCAGATCATTCAGAGGTACACTAGGCATGATCTTTGCAGCAGATGCGCCATGAGCAACACAGACATCTTTACATGGCCTTCACTGACCTGACTACGGCCTTTGAAGAGGCCCTGTGAAAAATCCTGATGACATTTGTATGCCTGCCAAAATTTGCTACTCTCATTAGACTTTTTTGTGCTGACATGACAACAGTCATCCTAAGCAATGGCTTGGAAACGGACCCCTTCCCCATTCGAGCTGGAGTCCAGCAAGGATGCATCATTGCACCAACACTTTTTCCACTTATATCATGGCTATTCCACATCTAATTGTGGACAGACTTCCATCTCAAGTCAAGGACAGGAATCTCTTTAACATCAACCAGTTACGTTCCAAGATATCCATACCCAAGATAACCAGCACCTCCGTTATAGAGCTTTAATATCCTGAGAATTGTGCTGTGTGCTCCCACTCAATTGAAGAGCTCCAGGTTTCTCTCAACTGCTATGAAATACTTGGTGTCACTGTCAGCCTCATGAGAACCAAGATACATTCCCAGCCTACCCCGAACCAGCCAGCTGCTCCCCCACACATTGCAATGAGACGGCAGTCTTTGGAGAGCGTTAAGAATTTCCCCACCTGCGTAGTCGCCTTTCCCAAAAAGTAAATATAGATGATGATATTCAGCACTGGATAAAATCTGCCAGTGCAGCCTTTGGACATCTCCAGAATCAAATATGACAAGGCATGGACCATTTTGAGCAAACTTGCTCACTACTGAGGCAGACAAGTGAGACAGAGAAAAAAGGGAAAAAAGCTATGACCTGATATCACCAGGATCCACTCCTTCCTGCTGAAACTGTTTGCAGTATTTGCAGTCAAATATACAGATCTCAGATTGGCCTCTTCAGCCATCTCTGGACTCACTGATGACTTCCCTGTCTACTGGAAGACTGTCAACCTCGGACCAAGGGACTGCTGCTGCCACTGACACCAATATAAATTATCCCAAAGTCTGGAGTGGACAAATGACCAGCTCTCTCAGGGTGGCAGCATGCACTAGGTACTATTAGAGTACCTTGACACTGGGCACTGGGGGAATAGACATCCTGACTGCCACGAGCAAACATCTACCCCAGGATGGACCCCTGGATACACATCACTTACACTGGGGTAACTTAGACTGCTGTAGTTGTAACTGATTTGAATCTGGTGTAAAAATCAACACAGGAAAAAGCAAAAATACATTAGAGTAGAGCTATATGTCACATGTGCACTTTTTCACACTAATGTAAAGACCAGTTACATTGGCCTGGATATGTGGTGCAGCCAAGACTTTTGTTTAATATGCACTCTCTTGGACCAACCCAAACGACACCTCTGCCCCTCTGCATTTGCTTCCTTCCCTCAGTGCTTCTAATTCACCCACCCCTGGTGCCACATGGATGTGGCTATATGCTGTCAATTGGGGGTAGTACGTGTGGAGCAGAACAGCCTGCTTGAAAATGTCCCTGCCAACTACAGTAAGTCTTTAGTCCAAAAAGTCCTTGCATCGACTGACTAGTGACGGTCTAGTCATCTTGTAAAGATGAGGCTTGCTATTTTCTATCCAGATTTCACTTTCTGAGTGAGGCCAAGGAATGGGCTGGAAACTAAGGATATAGCCACACTGCTAGGCTATTCACTTGTTCCTGCCAAAGCTTGGAAACAAAGCAGTGTAGGTGGTATAACCTGGCCCTAGACAGACACCAAGAAGCTGAGATGATCCTGCCTTGAGCAGAGGGTTGGACTAGAGATGACCTCCTGAGGTCCCCTCCAGCCATACTAGGACGGTAAGCTTTCTTTAGGCAGAGAGCCTGAGTGTGACTCTGGGCATATGCTCAGGGCTGTGCTAAACTGGCTACACTTCCTCATGTCTAGGCTTTGGTGTGGACAGAGTGGGAGTGTGTGGGCAGGGTGCACTTTTTGCAGGCGCTGCCATGCTAGTCCTGGGGCAGTGTAGATGTGTTGTAGGTTTGTAGAGTACTGCAACAACAGGTACTATGATGCCACATGTGCAGCTGATGGATGGTCACACTGGTGTGAGTGTATCTGAAAGTGAAATGCCTATCAGCAGAAACCTCCAGTGTTGCTGTGTCCCTAATGGAGGTATGTAGAGTAGTTCTCCTGAATGAGTAAAAACTGTACTAAAGATCTGGCCTGGCCTAACTCCATGCTACTCCAAACCGTCCGGTATACTCCATTTCCCCATTTTTCCATTACTAGCAGTGATAGCTGTTGCATCACCAGTTTCTGTGTTCCTTCATTACAGCCCACTGGTAATATTTGAAGTGGTCTATGTGAGGTGTGGAAAGCTGATATGGGATTTGTCACCATGGTGTGCAAGGGTGCTACTACTGTAGAGTGAGGCAGTGATATCGGTGCGCTCTTCTGGCACAGTGCAGGACACACAGCTTAAGGTGTCGGACCTGGGGCAAAATAGTCTTGGATGAGGGCATGCAGTTATGGTGCTATCTCCCCACAGAGCAGATCAAGAGAACCTGGAGTCTCCACCATCCTGAGGAGACATCAGATGTCTTCTTTGAGACACGCTTTCTACCATGTGTGATGCTTGCAGTCCAAACCCTGCCCAACAGAGCACCCCCAAAACCCCCTTTTCCCAAACAAAGGTCTGAGCCCCTAAAGGAAGAAGTGCCAGAGACCTAATGGCATTCATTGGATCCAACAGGGATTTTACTTTTGCTGTGACTTCTGCATGGAAAGCACTTGGCTATTTAACGTTAAGATTGGTAGTATATCACCATTCATCAGCCAGATGATGATGAGCTTTGCTCCTCTATCTGCCATTGAAAAATTAAGGGTAAGCTAGTACTGTGTCCCAAGACCTTGGCCTTTCCTTAGCAAGATGCGATAGTGATTTCTTCCAGCTTTCAAAATAGCGCTCTTAGACAATTACCCTTTCATTTTTTTTGAGGCGGGGAGAGGAGGGAATAGGCACCAACCTCAAGTACCCAGTCGTTGGCTGCTGAGGGCGTTTGCCTAAGTGTGAGAGATCTCAGGTGCACGTTGCCTTCCAAAACTGGCAGAGCAGAGACTCAAGCTAAGGTCTCCTGCACCCCAAGAAAGTACCATAATTAGCACACTATTGGCTCTCCAGTGCTGGGAGAGTCTCTTCTCCCTTATATTCTATCCTGGACCCAAGAAACCTTTTCAACAATCATTTTGTTGAAATCCACTATTTGCTGAGAAAAGTTTGGTTTTGATGCAGTGGCCTTTTCTGCTGAATACCTGGTCCACTGAAAAATTCCCAAGCAGCTCTCGTTCTACCGATATCATCTCGCTAAGAATGCACACGTAGATTATCTAAAGCCAGTCATGACCGAGTCTGATTCATCCTCCATGCAAGATGTACAATGGATTTGAGCCAAGAGTGCTGTAACCCAAGCATTACTTATGTGCAAAATAAACCTCCCAGTGAGCTGTGTAGCATGAAGAAATTACTCATCTCCAATGCAGTGCAAATCTAGCCAAGCTAAACATGGACATGCTGCCATCACATTTGAGACCAGTTATTTTTAACCATTAGGCCAGTAGGACTGGGAAGGTCAGTGCACTCTAACAGCCTCGGGACTGACGCAGGAGCCAGCTCCTTTGACTTCCCATCCCTGCTGATCACGAGCTATGCCCGTAAGAGTAACGGTACCTCAATGTCCTCCATTCTAAACTGAGGGGGTAGTTGTGTAGTTGTAAGAGGCTAAAAACTTGCCGGGGTCTATGACAGGTCACTTAAACGACAGATTTATAGCTGATTTATGGGTGTGGGGATAATCCGCACCAAATCTCATTTGCTAAGTACATTTTCCTTTTCTTTTGTCTTCTTCAGTAGAGGTATCTGTCCGGTCCCTCTCCCTGTAGGGAAAGACAGTACCATCTCACTACATCCTCTCACGATGCAAGCTGCCAGCAGTGCTGGCAAAAGTGACCCTGATTGAACTCTGCTTTTGGGTACCCTCAAGCAATCCCATTGCTTTCAATGGCATCATCGGGTTTGCCCAGTCCCTGGAAATGGCCCTGCTTTTGTGTTAGTTGCAATCTGAGGCAGAGGAGGAGTAATTACTCGGTCACCAGAATAAATCAGAGACTCACAGCTCCTGAGTGTGGCTGAGTCAGAAGCCGGGTCTGGCACGGTGAGGGTCATCGACTCCGTCTTCTGGGAGAGCTTCTCTTCCTGTGTGGGAATGAGAAAGTCTGTGAGCTGCTGGTCAAACCGTTGTATTTCCATAAAGAAATGATGGGTATGCTGTTGGACAGAAGGCAATAGGACCAAAGAGCATCTCCTCCCCTCTCCATGTGGTTGTGGCCCTGATAGTCCCTCTATCTATTAGGTTTGGTCTGTCTTATTCCTGTCTGTGTTGCTTTATACTATGGAGACTGCATGTCTTCCATAAAGCTATGACAACCCCCTGACTTCAGGCAGTGCTCCAATGCTTTGGGCTGGACACTAAACTATTGCCATTATTAGGCCTTTGTACATGCCACGTTTTTTGCCCTTTCTTGCACTGCAACTGCATGACTATTTGCACGACCGGGTTTTCCAGACTCTTTAAAAGTCTTTCTGGTGCATTGAACTAAAACTCTTTGAGTGTAGTTTAGTTTGGCTTGCCGGGAATTAAAGCGTCCCATCCATGGAGTTGTTGTGTGCAAACACAAAGGCACTCAAAGACATGTAATGGGCCTCTTTGTCCACCAGATGGCGCTGTGACTTTTTTTGTAGTTCACCCCTTTGAATTGCTTTCTAATAGCTTCACTTTTTTTTCCTTGTGTGGTTTGCAGTTTCCCTGCTTCCACAGCTACGTGGCAGGCCATAGACATGGGGTGGGTGGAGGACCCCGGGTCAGGGGGCAGCGCTGGACCATCCTGCTCTCCTGCTGGCCAGGGACCTGGCTTAATTTGAAAACCTAGTGCGGGCAAACACAGATGCAATGCTCTAAAACAAACCACTTTAAATTTTATAAACCTATTTAATTTAATGAGGATTAAAACCTGTGATGTGTACAGGTGCCCATTGAGGCTTTGCTAAAGAAAGCCCCGGAACCCTCTAAGTTTCAGCTGTCTCAAGTCCACTATTTACCTCTGATCCTGGTTTTGACTATGTCCCTCTTACTCTTATGAGCAGTGCTGTGCTCTAGGAGACCTTTAATTCATTTAGTGAGTAAGGTGCCTGCTAGATCCCTTTTTGGCAGGAGTAGTACTTCTTGAGGGCTACTCTGATCCCCTTCTACTTCCTGTTCTACTGCTCTGCTTTCTGTTCCCAGTTTTCTGCTCCCTGTCTGATCTGTTGTTCTGCTTTCTGCTCCCTACCCTAAGCGCTGCTGTATTCCCTGCCCCTTCCCTGATGTGCCATATGCCACACACACAGGCTGCCTCTGCCATTTATGGGTTTGCCACCTTGGCCCTAGAGGGTTTGAGACCAAGGTCCAATTCCATGGGAGTAAAGCTCTCCAAAACCAGTCCTTTGAGGGCTTTCTGCAGCAGTGCAGTAGTGGGGTCTAGCTCTGTGGTGGGAGGACCTGGCTGTGCCTTACCCAGGGCATGCTCTGAACTGGAGCAGGCGTGGAAGGATGAGCCTGCAGCAGCCTCACTCATGTATTTTGGGGTTTGGAGCATGCCTGTAGGCTCAGGTAGGGATGTATGCAGGATGAGGTCTAGTCCTCATGGTATCAGGACCCACAGCTGCAGCAGTGTTGACAAGTCCTGAGATTGCATCTCTTCTTGTTAGGCCATTTGCAATGACAAGTTGGATTTTTCTATCTGCCTTCCACCCTTCTCATAATTTTGCTAAACTTTAGGGTTGCCTTAAGTGTCTTCTTTCTGACTTAGGCTAACCTGTTCATTTTTCTTCAATCTGTCCCCATAACTTTCAGAGCTCATGTTTCTGATAAAAACTGTGTGGCCCTTGGCTGCTTCCTTAGCCAGGTAATCATATCCTCCCTGTGGGACAGCAATCAGGAGAATTATACCCTGCCCTTGGGTTGCCTACTTGTCTAAGTAAAGTCAAAAAAGGGCTTTTTCCAGCAGTCCCCTGGTCAATAGTCTACCCCTGATGGTAATGACCTAGGCACCGCACTGTGTTTGTCTGCTCTGTATAGCTCACCGGGGGGAGAAGTCCTACCTTTTCTCCTCTAGAGACATCTATTCCTATCAGCCCCTTCAATTTACATTTCTTTCGTGTATCCTGTGCTCTGATAAGCACTGCGGAGCTGACACCAGCTCACACGGGGCCATTTTTGCGTGGTGCTGTGGACAAGACAACCCTTTGCAACTTCAGGTCACTGCCTGTCATGGGGGCCTACTGAGGACATTCCCTTCATTGTGTTTCCTGGTCAATTAGCAACACAATTCATAGAGGTTGGGGCTCACATCCTTGCTCTTGATCATTCCTGGTTTTAAGTCACTATTGGCTTCAAGCAGAAGTGCATTTGAGAGCAAGGAAGGGCAGGGGCCTAGATTACGAAGGAGGAGTCTCTTGCATAGGCTGGTTTTGTGCACTCTGGAGAGATGGGCTTAAGTCTAGCTTAGGCCACCAGTTCGGTGAGACTTCTCACAAGTGGATGTTCCCTGATTCCAGTCCATGGTGTGAACTGGTTGTGTGTATTGGCACTAACATCCAGACAATTTGCCCGCTTCGTGACCCATCGGTTACTAATAGAGGGCCAGATGCTGCCACATTAATTACTCACATTAATTAGTACGCTTTGCTGGGGTAGCTTCACTGAGTGCACTGATGGAGCTGGTGTGTGCAGGTGGCAGACTTTGGCCCAATGGAAGCCCAGTGCATGCTGGGGAGCAGGTGAGTGGTGAGAACCAGGTTTTCGGGAGCCCACCACAGCCTGCTTCAAGATCAGCTGTTTGCCTCTAAGCCAAACCCAAGGATTACAGGTAAGCCTACCCTGCTGAGCCTCCGGTCTGCCAGCAATACACATCCACCAGAAGTGATGCCCTCTTCTCCACTCTCCTGGCCACTCCCACACTGACCCCATTGAAATCAATGGGCTTTCCACTGCTGAGTTCACCAGCACCAAGCTGTGGCCCTAATTCCAAAAGCAAACAGGCTTTGGGGCATGCGAGAAGAGAGCTCACCAACCTTAGTGGCCGAAGCCCCTGCTGTGGATGTGGCAGGACTCCTTTGCTGTCTCCTCCTGCTGCTCTGGGATGAAGAGAAGGGCAGCTCTGCCCAGCTTTTAGCCCCCTTGGCCGAAGGCTGGAGGGTTGTCTGCGTGTCAGACTCGGATTTGCTTTTCCTAAACTTGCCACCGGAAAAGGTTGTGAGGAGCGGGCCAGAAGAGACAGGCAGAAGTTGGGGACCGGCAGTGACTCTGCCAGCATCAGAGCTGGTATTCCCTGGAGTGGGACTGACGTGGTGGGTGGCGCTGGACCTGCTCCCGGAGACATTGCTGGTGGGGCCTCGAGGTACAGCAGCTTTTGCCCCCAAAGGCTCCTGTTCGTTGGGCAGTAGACGGTTTCTCGTCATCCTCTAAAACAGATCCGTCAAGACGTTTATTCTCTACTGTCTGCAGGGAACCCACTGCAATTGTGAAACACGGCCCCCAAGCCCACCCCCTTTTCCCCTCTGTTTCATGACAGTGCTCACGTTACCTCCTAGACTTGGAAGGGCTTGTCTGCACAGCCTTCCTCCTGACCACAGGAGCCGACCTTTTTTTTTGCTGGGGTGGGGGCGTCCTAAGATGATACCCCCCCTTCTCTCCATGACAGGGCTGGAGCAGAGCTGAGCAGAGCCTGAGGTGGGGGGGGCGCGGGGGTGGATGTGGGCTGCCAGCAACCAGTGCACGGCTCCCAGAGGGAGCAGCAGGCAGCAGGCAGCTTGCATCCACCCCTGCCCTGCGCACAAATCTGGGGGGCACATGGGTCCCATGCCCCCCTCCTCTGTAGGGAGCCAGTCCCTCTGTCCCACCCTCTGGGCTCTGTCTTGCTCCCCACCTTGGCCCTGGCCCTCATGCACTGCCCTGCCTGGGCAGCACCCCTGCCCCACTCCCTTCCTCACCATGGCGGTCTCAATCTACCCTGCCCCCCCCCATCGACGTACCTACAGGCAGCTGGGGCAGCTGCTTTCCACCACTGCCTGGGACTGCTTTCCTGGCCACGTGCATGTGTGCGCACGCACACATACATGCGGTGTCCCCAATGTCCCACTCCCGCAGCCCCTTGTAGTCTGCAGCGCTGCCAGCCTGCAAGGGGAAACCTGCCATTTCCCACTTTTTTCCGCAGTGAACAGAAAACCCAGATTCCTGCACAATACTGGGAATATGGGACAAATGCTGGCCTGGAGTAACGCAGCCTGGGACTGGGATTTGATGTTCCCATTTCAGGCCTGTCCCGCCCACTTAGAGATGGGTGGTTCGGGGGGCCAGAGCTCGCAGGGCCCCACATACTTGGCACCTATGCTCTTGACTCTAGGACTGCTCTCCCCAAAATGACTGCTCTCCTGGCTCCTGCTCTGGATTACCAGAGTCCAACAATTCAGCAGAATAAAGGGCTTGAAAACAGCCCCGAGTGGCTTGGCATACACAAGTCGAATGTTCTGGGGCGTGCTTCACATCTTTGCTCTGATTCTCAGTTCGGTTCATACTTGATGCGCTGAGACAGTCTGGCCAGTGATACCTGCCCTGCCCTGGGTCCTCTTCAGACCACTTGCTGATTGCTACACATGGCTTGGTTTCCTCACCATGGATGAAGATGACAAAGGGTGTCAGCTTCTCTGTCATGCTTCCATCCATCTTGTGTAAGTCAATTTGGACTCACCTTGTGATCCTCTTGCGTTGATGTGCCACTTTCACGATCCAGGATGTTTTGATATCTAAACAAGAGACAGAAGATGATGCTTTACCCCCCTTTCCAGACAGTGCATTCAAGAATTACAATATTTTTTTACCTAAAGAAGAAGCCCAGATGTTTCGCAAAGCTCTTGGGGGCCATTTGAATCCTTTGGTTTCAGTAAAAATCAGATTCTGATTTGGATCTAAATTTTGGATGTGGGGATAGATCTGAATTTGGCCAAACAGAGATTTTTATTCTTCAAGTGTGTCGGAAATGCCACTCCCTTGATTTAAAGCCCACAAGGGATGGTTGTTCGGTCTGACTTCCTGCCTAAAGTAAGGCTGTAGATTTTCCCCGGGGATTCCTCCCCTGAACCAAGCAACTTGCAGTTGATCCAGTTGTAAAGACAATTTTGTTTTCATTTAACAATGTCAAGAGACAGAGGTTTCACTGCAGCTCTCGGTACGCTCCTCTGATGGGTGGTTACTTTGGCCATTCAAAATAATGCTTAATTATGAGTTGGGCTTTTCCACACTTCTCCCACCCCGGTTTGTGCAATGCCTTTGTCTGATAGATTAAATTCCTCAGATATCTTCTCTACAGAGAGGGGCTTACAGATGGATTGAGTCCCTTTTTAACTGTGTTTTTGGTATGCTAGGTAGCTTGTGTGCCTTCAGGGTCCCGGTTATCCCCACTTGACATATTCAAATGACATATTCAGATACTCCACATCTATTCCTGGTCTTTTCTTTTTTTAGCAAGATAAATTGAATGGTTGTTTTGTTTGAACGATTGTCCTGCAAGTATTAGCAGCTGACTGTTGTTTTAAGTACGTAGTAGAATAATAGAGCTGAAGCGACTACCACAGCTCATAGATGTTCTTCATTGCATCCCTGACTGCGCTGTCTGTTTCATTTGTGGTCCGTCTCCCCACACTTTTTAGGCTTGAAAGCCTCATCCCAGCCTTCCTTTGGCTGCTCCTCAGGTTTTATCTCATGCCTAAGATTGATATGTTGTGCCACCGAATGTGCCAGGCGAGTACTGTCTCTCCATGTTGGAAGTGGGGGACGAGAAGAAGGTATGTGGGAACTAGCACCAGGATAACGAGCACCTTCTTCTGAAGGAGTTTGCAAGCAATAGTTTAGGGATGCATGCATGCAATGATCTTAGATCTTTGTTCTGGAGGAATGTAGAAATCTTACAGGAAAATGTGTGGGCACGGCCTTACAGAGAAGGACAGTCAAGGACCTTTTGTGGTACAGGCTGGCCTCAGGGATGTGCTTATAACTCGCTTTGCCTTTCAGGGCAGTTTCGAGAAGAGTCTGATACTGTAAATCGTCAGTCTATATGATTAGAAAGACCATCCAAAGAGAAGGCCCTGGTTTGCTGTATAAACCTCGTAGATTTAGTTCTACCTAATATTGGATAAGATGTTTGTCTGTGATGAATAGGCACCCATGCTCCATGCTAAGCATGGACAGGGCTCTGCTGGTGTTTCTGTGGGTTGTTATCCCATTTTAGTTGGACCTGGACTGCTGTGAGGGTTAAGTTCTCCAGGCCTTCACTTGCCGGTGTATTTATATAGATTGAGCCTAATGCAAAGATGCATCCTTAAGGTTCGAGCTGCCCTAAGGCACCATTACTGGTCAATGAAATCACAGCAGCACTAAAGCAATCACTTCTCTGCAGCAACTCTCTACCCTTGTGGGAAGCACCAATACCCTCTCAAACAGATGACTTTTGCAGTATGCCCTTAGGTCACCAAATTCCCGATATTTCCGAGTTCTCACAGAGATTCTCATCGTCTTCCCAGCTATCCCCTTTCTTTGAAGCTGAAGCACATCTTGGGTGCTTATGCTGACCACAGCTCTTGTAGAGTGGCCCAGGGAGAGAGCGCATCCCTTAAGTAGGCTGGCTTTAGGCCATTTAGGACAGTGTAGGCCATAATCTCTGCTGAGAGTTTGTTTGGCATCCATTGTGTTTTCAAGAGTTTGTCAATACTGCCCAGAGGGTGGGATGGATGATTTTTCATGCAGTCAATGTGGATCTCAATACGTGGATACTGTGAAATAGTTAATGACCTGTGGAACCTAGTTGCTCACCTGGCTACTAGCTTGGAGACAGAAACAGAGTTTCTTAGAGACAGTGAAGCTCTGTGGTCTGGCCTGCTTTGCGGAAAACCAAGTGCTGTATGAAAGGATGGAGGCTGCCTCAGCTTGTCAGCCCTTGCCATGTTCTCTGCCTGCTGCCTTCAAAACAGAGAAAAAAAACCATTACCTACATGCCTGGGGGAAGTGTTCACAAAGCAAATTGGATCGTCTTCATTTGCTTACTCCATGCAACCATTTATGCTGTAAAGAACAAACTCTACCTCCCGCAACACCTCTGTAGGCCTGATTTGAGCAAAGTCAGCAGGGGGTAGGAGGGAAGGGTACATATATACTGTGCTATTCTACAGGACCGTATGTAGGAGCGGTCATGTGCACTCCCATGTTGTGGTGATGAGCTTGGATTTAGTCCTTGGTTCAGCAAACAAAGCAGCATGATTTAAACACATGCTTGCAGTCAGTCCCATTGAATGGTGCTGGTTTAAGCTCTGTCTCTTTGGACAGCCTGAACGCTTTCCCATAATCTGCAATGCAGCTTCCAGCTGCCTGGGGTGAGTGGAAGTTATTAGGATGAATGTATGCAGCTAGCTCTGACCCACCCTATCACACGGCAATAGTTTTGGGGAGGATTCAGCATTAAGTCACTGACTTGCTCGTGCACTTTTCTGAGCCTGTGTTGCATCTCATACGCTTCTCGTGGCTCTCCCGTACCACATATCAGAGCCCTTATTCCTTCCCTTTCCCTTTGGTTACAGGAATCAGGTGGGCAAAGTCCCCCAGCAAATCTGCAATTAAATATTAAAAGGCAGTGGTGAGGAAAGGGTCAGGGTGACTGAAAGAGTCAGCAGTAAAGAACAGGAGAGCATGCCCACGCCTAGCCTTGTGCATCTGTTCCTATCTCATAAGGTCTCCTTCTTACTTAAAAAACCCCTACAGGTGCAAATTCAGATCTCAATCCCAGGCTTACTTAGCTGGTGTTTCTCCAGATTTGCATCAGTATCAGATTCTATACCATGGATATACTGTCTCTCTAGGTTATGAGAAATCACACATATGGGGTAGTCCTCACTATTTCTTCCTTTCCTGTCCTCACCCCTGTACACAAAAGCCTGGTGGGCAGTAGCTTGCTCTCTGACTGACCAGACACTGGGAATTGGCCACTCCAGGAAGTTCAGTTCTGGCTCCTAATCTAGGATTACAGTTTAGTATGTAGTAAACTCCATCCCTACTTTGTGAGGTGTGAGGTTTAGCTGAAGAGGACGGGGAAGAGGGAGCAACCATACCTTCTCCTTTTCTGTGTGTACCGTGAGGTCTGAAATGATGACATCTTGTGTGTTAGTAGCACAATGCCATGGCAAGTTAGTCTAGTCTCTTTGGCTGCTGTGGTCAGGACAAGAAATAATGGTATTTTTTTTAATGAGGGAAATATAAGTTGGATGTTAGGAAGAAGTTTGACCCCAGTACTCTTTCCTGCCATGGCAGGGGGTCGGACTAGATGATCTGCTCAGGTCCCTTCTGACCCTAGAAACTATGAAACTATGAAACTGTAAGTTTCTTACTATGAGGGTAGCTGAGCATTGGAGCAAATTACTTGGAGAGGTTGTGTCCATCCTTGGGCATTAAAAGCAGGTTAAACCAACACTTGGCTAAGATGATTTAGATGTGGCTGATCCTGCTCTGAACAGGGGTTTGGACTAATGGATCTCTCAAGGTCCCTTTCACCCTTATTTTTCTATGATTGAGACAGTTTGACAACCTGGTCCATCCTGCTGTGTTGTGGTACGAGCAGGTCTCAAACTATCAATGACATCCAGACTGGGTCAATGGTTGAAGAGGTGAGCTACCAGGCATAGCTTGGTGTTGCAATATATGGTAGTTGTCCTTAGCATCAGGATAGTGGATTAAATACATCATATGTCTTGTTCTACCATTTTTGAAGTGTGCCCCTCCTGGGAGATGGACCACCTACTAAATGAATGCATTTTCTGCTCAGGGAATAGTAAGTCGATTTGCTGGGAGGATACGTGGTCTGCTCACCTGACATGCCAGGTAATGAAGTATGTATTGGAGAGATGCTACTTATTAGAGCAATGCAGCCCCCAACACCAGGCTGATCCCAGAGGGGCTGGAAGTTTGCTTTCCCGTGTAACGAAAAAAAAGCAGTGTCATCTCCATTTAACAGGCGGGGGAAGTGCAAACTGAAGGGACTTGTGCAACATCACACCAAATATCTGTGCCTAACTGGGTAAATAAAACAGGTCTCCTGAGTCCCTGTTCAATGCCACAAACACAAGTCCATCCTCCTCCTCAGCCCACCCCTCAGGACTTACCGGGAAATGATCTACCAGGGATGAAGTGTAGCACTCAGTGGGGAACCCAGTCAGTCTCCAGCAGTCCCACAAGGGGGAATAAATGGGGGTGATGCTGAATGAGTGTATGAGAAACAAGAGAGGAGAAAAGCTAGCAGGGGAGGGGGAGAGAGCCGAGTGGGTAAACTGTCCAAGTGTACCGGGGGCAAAATTCACTTGCTGGGTTCACCGGCTGGTCCACTTTTAATAGATCACTAAGTTGTGACAAACTACCACTTAGAGCGAGAGGCTTCTCATGGTCACTTTGGTTCCTCAGTAGCTAGATCCCTGAGCTGGCCAAACCTCACAGCAATCTCCCTGTCCTACGTCTATTCTGTGCCCCCCTCCCTGTGCAGGACTTCAGAAGCAAATGCCTCAGGAAAGCCCATGCTCAAGCTACTTTGGGACCCCACAGTAGTGGAAGCTGGACAAGGGTGCTTATTTCTAAAACCCACCAGCTTTCCCAGGGTCACTCATAGGCATCCATGCCAGGAGCATTGCTGGAAAGATTTAATGCAACAGCAAAAAGCAGTTTTTTGCTGGAAAGATTTAGTGCAACAGTTGTGGATGAAAACTGCTCTTGGGAATATATTGCCCTGTGTAGTAACGCAAAAGAAGGAGCAGGCTTTATGGATAGGTTGGGATCAAGCTAAATGCATGCTAGCACTCCATTGTTGTGGGCAGTGACCTTTAGGAAAAAGAGTAGAGTTTTGTTTTTTAGTTTTTCTTCTTTTACTACTGAAAAAAGCAGTTGGTTTTTTTTCAGCTGCATCTGATGAGGGAATTTTTAAGCAAAATATGGCGATAGAATTGGCCACGGTAATATCCCTGCTCTTACAGAAAGCAATATGGGGGTTGTATGTCCACATACAACATGGGACATCGGCCCAAAATGCGATTTATCTTCCTTGAAGTCCTTTCCATGGGTTTGTTCTGCTCATGCTGGAGAGCTATATAGGCAACAAAGTCAGCGCTTGAATAAGAGCAGTTAATATTGTGTGTGCCAAGGGCAGTTTATAATGAACCAGAATTGCTGCATTTGTCATGAAAAGAGGCTTCTAGCCAGAAATCATTACCCAGGAATGTCTAAGCTAAAAGAAACCTTTGACACCGGAGCTGAGGGGGGAACGCAAGCCAGAGACATGGAGATGTAGACTGACCAGCATCCAAAACTGAGAATTTAGTTGCTGTGCATTTTACTATCGAATAATAATTTGGAGCCTGCTGAAGGCAAATCATCCTAGAAGCCGAGGGATCAAAAAACTCTTTGTAAATATTAATGAACCCAGTCCCTGCAGAGTGCTTGAGATGAGTAAATAGAACCGGACCCATTTTATATTATTAATCATGTTTATTACAGTACGGGCTGGAGACCAGACAGGATTTTATGTGTTTAGTTAGGGGAACCAGCTGGATAGAAAGAGAGAGGAGACACTGAGGCAAAGGATGGAGGGGGCCACAGCAGAGGTGGTGGTGAAATGTTGTATTGTGATGTTGTAAATAGTGTTATTTAGGGTTGGACCTTGGTTATTGGTAAATGTTCGCTGTAAATATATGCATATAGGCCTCCTAAAAGCTCTTAAATACGTCTCAGCCCTGACACAAAGGCTTCCTTCTAGAAGTTCAGGCTCCCTGATACATTTCTTCCTTGACTTCTTTGCCGTGATAAGGATTATTACTCATCAGAAAGTGGCTGTAACCTCTTATTCATCTCCCCTGTGGCTTTTAGGCTCTACCCCATAAAGCTCTTTCGAAACCAGTGCTTTATGGGGCAGCCTGCCCTGCTTCAGGCCCTTTGAATGAGGAAATCTCATGAGAAGAGCCAATTGTGTGAGGTTTTGCAGCATTTGGAGCCAGGCCGCGTGGGACCATCTTGCCAGAATATCTGAGTCTGACACAGTCTGGGGCCTACCATTGATTAGGTCTGGGCATCTGCTCTTCAGCTCAGCCCAAGCCTTTCCGCCTACCTAATACTGAGTAACTGAGATGCGAACATGTCCATGGAGCATAATAATCCAGTGCCCTCTTGCCGTGAAAAGACCGTGCAAAGCAGCTCCATGCAGAGCTCCCAAGAGGGTTGTCAAGATGGGTATATTTTGAGACTGACTTTTCCAGGACTAAGTTGCCCTGGGGCTGGTTCATGGGTGATTGTCTCTGCCTCCATGAGCATCATCTCTCTAGCAGGAGCAGTTCCCAGCTCTCAGTGGTTTCAACTTGATTTGGCACCGTGTGCCAGGCTCTACTCTGTGCTGGAGGAAGGGGAAGGACATGGCTCAGCCTCCAGAGCAACTCCTGTTTACATAATGCGGGTACACCCAAGGGTGTGCCCTAGTCTCAGATCAGATGGGAAGGGTAGGCAGGAGGGGGTGCTGTGAGACGGATGCCAGAATTTCGAGCAGATCCCTCTTTCCTCTATAGAGTTAGCCCGAGCCTAAAGTTCTTAACTATAGACAATTTATTGAGTTATAATATACATAAACATAAAACTAAATATCATATGTATATATTTACACAGTGAACATTAACCAATAACCAAGGTCAAACTCTAAATAACACTATTTACAACATCACGATACAACATTTCAATTACAAAATATAAGG